AGTACTTCGGTTTCCCCTGCCAATCTTCATTCCACCAATTGCTCCACAATCACCTTCAGCTATCATCCGGGGCTGGTACAATAGGCCAGAAGTGGCCGCAGTACAAGGGACTTAGTCCCACCCCACTAGCAATAAAAAAGAATTAACCCTGAGGCGGAAATTAGTTTTTCACTTTCTCATATATATGTTATATATATCAGAAGTTCTTGTAATGCAGAAAAGATCGACCTCTGAGATTTTGACGGATTTATACCTTTTGAGCAACACTGAATTATATAACATAATTTTTGGAAAGCCATTTTTCTTTCTGTTTGTATGCATATACATGTGCACCTTACTCGCTGCTAACGGCTGGACAGATGTCACTCGTATTCGGTATTTTAAATATTACCTATCACAAATCGATGCTCGATGAATCTCAAAATATGGCTAAAACGACTTAGATTAAATTCTATTTATTCAGGAGACGTGGCCCTGAAGAGAGTTGCATAGAAGTATCTTCAGGGACGTAACATTGCGCTCACTAAGAGCCCAAACACGAAATTTATATTTTGTCAAACTTGGTTTACCCTTCGAATGACATTCGTTTTTGTTCGGTATTCATAGGCCAACAGTGGTCTACTGAGCAACATTCGATTTAATTTCAAAGGTCACCTACAACTGCCTATCACAGTGGCCGCGCGGTCTGAGGCATGAACTCTCTTCGCTCTCTCGAACACTGGAATCGTAGGTTCGAATCCCACTCGAGGCATGGATGTCTATGTGCGTTTATTCTGTGTGCAGGTAGCGGCCTTGTGACGGGCTGATCCCCCGTCCAAGGAGTCCTACCCACTGTGTACAGATTAAGAAATTGAAAAGCCGGCCAAAGTCCACAAGGGCTGTGGAACTACAGAGAGATAAATACATATAGTCCTACAACTGAAAGTATGCATAATGTCTTTCATTCGATAATTTTCCTGCTGTATCATCAATGTGCGATGTTAAGAATCGAACCGCGTCTATTACGATGACACGGGTTATTTTATAATATTATCAGGATATTTGACCGCCTCTGTGGTCTAGTGATCAGAGTTCCTGCCTACAGATCCAGAGGTCCGGGTTCGATTCCCGGCGTTACCAGATTTTCTGAGAAGTAGTGGGTCTGGAACGGGGTCTACCCATCCTCGTGAAGATAATTGAGAAGCTATTTCAAAGAAATAGCGGTTCCGGTCTAGGAAACAGAGATTAACGGCCGTGGGGTTCCTTTGCGCTGACCACGCGACACCCTCTGTCCAAAAGTTGGTACTAACTTCGCCGACAAGCGGCGGTCGCTCGGTAGGTATAGTTTTCTTGCGGACTCGAACCACTGAGATTTTTTTTATCAGGAAATTTTTTAGAACGACTGAGAAAAGCCTCTAGAAGCCTCAGTCAAGATCGGCTATCGGCCAGCAGAGATTACGAGCTTGAGAAGTCCCCATTGCGGTGTGAGTTTTATGAGCTGACGAAAACAGCCTAGCTACAGATTTTTTTTTTTTGGCTGAGCCAGGCAAGTAAAGAATGGATCAGTGCCAAAGTGTTTTTAGTATCAAAAAAGCAAAATTGATGTAATAAAGGAGCCACTGACATCTATCAACAAGGACACGAGTATAATTCGCATTCGAAAACTGACCTCTGTCTACATTTGTATATATTTATTTCTAGAATGAATTCACTATTTCAGATTCATAGCCTTAGATATGTGAAATCATGATTAACTTCCTTCCTGTAAATATTTCAAATGCTTAAAAAATGCTGCTTTCTGCTATCTGAGATCGTAAAATACGATAGAATTTCACAGACTTTCTAGAGGCAAGAAACGTTTCCATTTTCAAAGTCAAAGAAAAAGTGAAGTAAGAAACTAGGAAGAAGTGCTGTACAGCATTAAAAATAACATGAAACAAGTTTAAACTCAAAATTTACTTTATATGACTAGAAATTTCTATGTAGCAATTCCATTGTTTTGGAGATGACATGTTGTATTATTAATATAATGACATTTTCAAGAATATCAAATCCATAAAAATATAAACTGCAACAATGACAAATTTTAAGTCACTGTTTCACAGATTCAGTTAACAACTCGCTAACGATTATAGCATTTTTTGGGCTCCTTGATGGTTACTTTTGCAGGAAATAGTCCTATAAACTTACTTTAAATATTATACTCCACATTTTATGGAGAATTTTTTTCAAAATCGTCCGATTTTAAATGTCGAATTTATGTGTCTTCGACGTTTGGCTTACTGTTTGTTTCATTTCAGGCCAACAGATGGAGTCTATAAGTGACTCTGGCTCAGTCGGTCTGTCTGTAGGCAACAACTCACGCGCTGTTTAGATGTAGTGCTATATCACGCTGAGGCGACTGCTGACTACTCTACTATGTTATTATTGTTCTTACTAGTAGGTGACCACGGGACGAAAGTAGAAGAGCTGGCTCCTATGCTGGACATCAATCACTTCTGAGGGGACTGCAGACACTACCAACACCCCTGTCCCTCTCCCACCTCAGTGGTTCTCAACCCCCAACCCCACAAATTCCGAACACATTTTCTGGTAGACTCTTGGCTTTCAATCTGTTTCCAGTAAAGAAGGCTGGAGAGAGCTTCATGATGAGGATCTTCACAATTTTTACTCTTCCTCAAACAATTTAGGAGAATGAAATGGGCAGGACATGTAGCACGAATCGGAAATGAAATGCATACAAAATTTTGGTCCGACTCTGGCTCAGGTAGGGGACGGGCGGGATGCTGTGAGCAAGACAATGAATCTTCGGCTACATAAAATAATAGGGATATCCTGATTAGGTGAGCAACTGCTGGTTTCTCAAAAAGGATTACGCTCCAAGCGGTGAATTTATATATTGTGGTAATTGGCTGTTGATCTTTCCGCCTCTGTTCCAAGAGACCATTATTCAAAACAAGGTAATTACTTCATGGAACTGTCGATGTCTTCTTGTTACACAATCCATTTAAACCTCTCCTTTCTCAGAAGACCACAGAGAGAAGGAAAAAAAAACAGGCATGTCCCGAGAGGATTACAACTTGCGATACGTTCCTCTGAAACGCAGGTTGACATAGCTTCATATCCCAGAAATTACAATTATTCATAGCCACGCTGCCAGAATTTCAAATTCAGCACTATTTTAAATATTATCCTCCCATCCATATCTAGGAGTCCCACTGAAAGTCTCACCGAGATAACATTACATCTGAACCCAAGAGTGCCACACAGGAAGTTCTAACGAGACAGGAAGAATGTAGCACTGTTGTTAAACCCTAATTCTTGATCATACGCCGATGCTTGCAGTCGCGAAACAGCCACAAACATACAAATAGCAACATATAGGACGAGACTGAAAGCTTATACAAGAGTTCATTAAATTCTGACATGACTGTAATTTCTTTTATTGAGGTCTACCAACAAAATGTATCATTTTCCTTTGTACGTACCACATTTTGAACATGGATACCGCAGTCGGTATAGCCACTGGTTACAAGCTGGAAGACAGAGGTGTCGGAGTTCGTGTCCTGGTAGGTTCCACGTCTTCCAGACAGGCTCTGGGGCACACTCAGCCTCTGTCCAATGGACACCGCGGGCTAATTCCCCCGGGAAAACGTGGCCGGTGCATGAAACTAACCACTCATCTCTGAATAGTGCCGAGGTCAAAAAATGAGGCTCTATATATCCACTCCCCCACAGGTCTTCGTGGTGTAGTGCGTTACAACTTTACCTTTTGCCTTTACATACCACTCTGACCGCCGTCTGGGTACACTTTATTTACACGCCTTCATAACTTGACGTGAAAGAAACCGTATTATGAAGATCCTCACTGCGTAATTTTCTCCTTCTTTTCCTCAAACAAAGATAGACTAAAATAAGGTCTATTGTTGGAGGATACACGGAAAGAAGCCAATAGTCAACTGACTTTATGCACGGTTTGTTTAACGCGACTTTCAGTCTCTCAGTGAATACGTCGTCGAAAGGCAGAATGATTAGTGAGAAACAAATATGAAATGGTAAAGACGGAAGCAGTAGTGGCCTACACCAAATCCTCCTATTCCAGAATTTTTCTGGAGGGACTGAGGAAAACCACGAAACATCTCAGTCAGATAGCCGATGTCCCGGCCGAGATACAAAAGGGGAACACCCGGAATACACGGCAGAAGCACTAACACTTCGAGAAACCTCGTTACTGACGATATTACGAGTTAAAAACTTCTCTCAAATATTGTACACCTCTTCAAATTATTCTGTGTAAATTATTTCCTTTTCAAAAGAGAGAGAATGTATTTTTTCCTCGCTTAGTGGGGTGGAGAATACAACGTTTTGGAAACTGGATCTGTTTCCGTTTCCAGGTGAAGGGGTGGGAGACACCCAACTCTATTGGGTCCCTTAGAAAAAGTTAAACTCAGCCACTCCAGATCTTTCTAACGGACCCAACAAAGTAGGTGTCATCCACCCCTCATGTGAGGACGGAAACAGATCCAGTTTCCAAAACGTATTATTTTGCATTTTTTAGAATACCAGACGATCGACAAAGTCCAAAACCCAGTAATAATAACCCATCAGAATCAACCAGATGAAGATACCCTTAAGCAATTTAAAAGAAACTCTGGTACAAAAATTATGTGTGACGTTAAATGACGTATCAACTGCAGAGGTTATAAACGACGAATTATATGGAAATAAGACGAGCTTGATTGTAATAACTCAGCACCCGTCTACAGAGTTTATTGACAACGACGAAAAATACCAAGCAGGATAGCACAGATAACCAAGACTCAAACCGGGTACCTTCCCCGACCTACCGCTACATGAAACTCTCCGCCATTGGCTAAAATACTTGTCATTCCAACCCACAATCGTAGCATGTACTGCTCGAAACAATACAATGAGATATGCAGTGTTCTCACATTTGTCAATCCTGCCGAAGATGAACACCTCCATCACAAGAGAACAGTTTATATCAAGAAATACAAACCTACCCCCTACCCTCCCATTAGTTGAGAACCACCCCTGCATGCTGCATGCTGGGACTACTGCATGATGGCCATCTCAAGCGGCAGGTAGATAATTCAAAGCACACAGATGCTGTAATATAGCTTGGCCAGGGTTCACGCGCAGACTCGCCAGTCCGAGAATGAAACCGCGAAAATCGAGTTGCGCGGTTTCAAATTTTATCGAAAAGATGTAGCAATTTTATAAATTTCTACCTCACACATACACTAAAAATTCCTTCAATCTGTCTGCCGTCCAAATAATTAAAAACTTCCGTGTAATTTTCTAAAACACAGCCAAATAAAAGTTATAATTATTCAATTCGATAAGAAAAATCTTTCCTTTGCCTCAGTAACATGACATAAAGGCAAACACAGTAAACCCTTGTTATAAGGTATTAATTGGGGGGGGGTTGTGTGTCACCGATGTGCGCTATAACTAAGGCCCCCCATACACACACAGTTTGGCCTTCCGATCGACCTTACAGGCAAAACTGTGACAGTTTACGCCCTCCCTTTCCTCCCCATACACGCGCCGATAAAGAGGCAGGCTTCATGCCACAATCACGGTCTTCCAGCCTATAATGTTGAGTCACACACGTCACGTGCTACGGTCCTGCAGGCAGAACTGACGGACTGACGGGTTTCCCACAGGCCAACAGTCCAAACGATTGGCCGGCCGGCCGCACCACACAAGTCAGTTTTGCCTTTCAGTCTTCAACTGTGCAGGCCGAACTGGAGGCCAAACTGTGCGTGTATGGGGGCACTAAGAGACGAGGTATTCACGGAATTACACCATAGGATACATACCCAATATAAACAGCAAACATATAAACACACAATATGATTACATAAAGGTTTTCATAATGCGTTTGTTTCTTGCTTTAAATAGTTTTCTAACCACAACACCTCTTTAGTACCTCAACATCTCTAAAAATTCGCAACTGTACACAGCCAAATGTTATCCGTTATACGCGGGTCAGTTATAACGAGGGTTAACTGTAATATGTGTTGGTGTAATTTTGTCGGGAACATGTGCAAGTGATTCACATTCACGTTCCAGCCGCTTTAGCCCAAATAAGAGGGTAATGGAATGCGTTGGATAAGAGATTGTTTGGACCCAGCAGACAATGGAAGATGGTCAAGAACCGGTGGCGACTGCCTGTGCCAGATTTTAACTCAGATATTGAAGGGAGGAAACTGGAAAGAGGTTGAAATGTCCCTCTCAGCCGCTTTTCTGGGAACTTTACAAGAGTTCCCGTAGGATATTTAGATATATATATACACCAAAGAATACTGAAGTTAATTTGCGACGTAATCGTAAAACAGACTACGAAACAAATATATTTTAAATAAAGAACTATAAGTGAAAGGGAGACACGCGGTAGCGTAGTTGGTTGAAGCACTATGCTATAAGCCAGAAGGTCGCGGGTTCGAGTCCCGATTAGGTTATTTTATTTTCAATTGACCTAATCCTTCCAGCCGCATTATGGCCCAGGGCTCGACTTAGCCTCTAACAGAAATAAGTATCAGGAATCTTCATGGGGGGTATAGGGCGCCCGAAGCGTAAGGCTGACAATCTCACCGCCATCTGTGAGTCGATTATGTAGATAATGTGGGACCCTCAACGTCTCACAACCCTATGGGCCTCCACAGACTGGTATAGGTATAGTTTTACATTTTACCTTTTACAAGTGAAAAGGTAGCTGCGATTTTTTGGGTTTCACTTCTGTGTCGTACTGCACCGAACTACGCGGCCCGTAGGCTGGAACACAATCGACCCGACACCCCATCAGAAACATTTTTCGGCCGAGTTCAGGTATCTGAATATGTTTCTTCGCATGAGCCACGAGTTCTTGATCACTCTAATGTCCAACAGATAAAGAACACTAGTACACTTTATGATTTATCAGTGTTGGAACGACGTCTCGTTATTTAAGAGAGAAATATATCTGCGAGTGACCTCTGGCACCTGTGTAGTGTCAATGTGTACAATGACCCACCCCCCTTTCCACCATCCTACTCCCCCCCAACCAGCCCTGATGTCACGTCAAGAAGACTTGTGACGTCATCTTGTTACAGAAGAGCACGAGAGGAGAAACTCAAGTCTGCTGCCACGCACAAACGGCACGAAGAGTGCCGACCTCAGCGGCAGGACCGTCAGTCCCCCCTGACCGAAGCAATAGGGTACTGCCTATCATTACTAACGTCTCAACACTGGTTGCAAGCCCGCTGCACTGCCCAGCGACATCTATGCTAAGTTTCAAACAAGACGGCGCTGCGCAGTAGTAAAATCTATGCTAAGATTCAAATAAGACGGTGCTGCGCAGTAGTAACATTTATCACGTTATGAGAGTTAACCCAATTAGCGTCACTTAGTCTTCGATGCTTGTACTATACAATTTCTCTTCTAACTTTTGTAACTTATTAAAATTAAATTGTTTCTGGTGGGTGTTTCAGATTAGTAACAAATTAAGAAGGACTAAACATTTAATTTTAAAATTTAACACAGACAGTATATATAAGTAGAGATTTAACTTTTTTTAGGCGTTCCGTAATACCGAGCGAGAGGCGGAAAATGATGTTGTCAAGTAGAAAGAACGTCTTACTCATGCATGTAATGTATCTGGAACATCCAAGTTGAAGGATACGTTCTCGCAACATCGCAACTTTGTAGCTCTACTTCTCACAGTGAAATAAATCGTCATTCGCCTAAATTATGTTTCAATCAAACATTTTTTTTAATGCTAGTGGGGTGGGACTAAGTCCCTTGTACTGCGGCAACTTCTGGCCTATTGTACCAGCCCCAGATGATAGGTGAGGGTGACTGTGGAGAATTTGGTGGAATGAAGATTGGCAGGGGAAACTGAAGTACTCGAAGAAAACCTGCATCAGTGCCACTTTGTCCACTACAAATCACACTTGACCAGACCCGGGGTCGAACCCGGGCCGCCGCAGTGGGAAGTCAACGACTAACCGCTTGAGCTATGGCGCGGCCTCTTCACTCAAACATACTCCACACCATTGGCCATACATGGGGAACTATTTTTACATGAAGACTGAATACTTAAACGCCAGTAGACTCAGGAGCCTAGCGATAAAAACAATACACGAGACTAGTTAAAACACTGTTAAATAGTTGCGCTATCTGGACTTTTCTTTGTGTGGGGGCATGTTTCAATAAAAAGGCATCCAAAATGGACAAATAACCTTAAGTCCTCAAGCTTTCACGGTGGCGACTGAACGCCGTAAAACATTTCGTAATCAGTCTCGTAAATCTGGATCAAAAACTTAAGAGGCTAGGAAGTCATCTCTGTTTCCAACATCAGGGAATTATTGTGCCATTATTCTACCAATATTCCCAATAATTAATTTGGACACGATATCCTAAGTTGTAGACCGCCTCTGTGGTCTAGTGGTACTTCCTGACTACAGATCCAGAGGTCCCTGGTTCGATTCCCGGCGCTACCAGATTTTCTGAAAAGTAGGTCTGGCACGTGGTCCACTCAGCCTCGTGATGATAATTGAGGAGTTATTTCAAGAAAATAGCGGCTCCGGTCTAGAAAACCGAGATTAACGGCCGTGGGAATCCGTTGCGCTGACCACGCGACAACCTCTATCCGCTAAAGTTGGCACTAACTTCGCCGACAAGCGGCGGTCGTTCGGTCGGTATAGTTCGCTTGCGGACTAAAGGCCACGATGTTTAGTTTTATCCTAAGTTGTAATTGTCATTATTCATGTGTTAAAGATACGAATTAAATGGAACAAATTTGATACACACTTTATTTGGACTATAGATTTCTTGGTGCTCTCCTCGGCGCCTGTCTTTATCTCTTTGTCCTGTCTTCGTCACGTATCTTCTCATGTCTTCAAGGTTCTCTTTCGACGTTTCATTAGATGTTCCTCTTTTTTTTTTTGTTATATCCTCAGCACGTTTCTTCCTTATCCTATCTTCATCTGTTTGGCCTGTCCTCGTCACGTGTCGTCACATATCTTCAAGATACTCCTTCCGCCTTTTCTTTGGTTCTTCTCTTTACTCTTTGTCCTGTTTTCCGCACATGCCTTCTCCTCTTTATACTACCATTCCGTAACTCTTAAAGCTGTAACCAATTTCGACACTAAGATTTTCACTTTTTCCAAAGTAGGCCTATTTATTTTGTTGTAATCGCGTGTATCCAAATAAAGGTCTTAAAAATTGTAATGTGTGCGGTTTCCAGTATGATTAATATCTGTCACTCAACACAGTTACAGCTTGTTTAATGATACAATAAGCGGCAGTGGGTACAACCAGTGCTGAGAACACCCTGTATTTAGAACAGTGTTACGAAGATAGCCACCCCACTCTGTTAAGATGAGCTCCCTTACCTTACTTTGCACGGCTTAGTAGACCTATTTGATGTTAGTTTACAGCTAGAGTCGGCCATTAAGGTTATTAGTGTAGATTTACATGTCTTCATTAG